ATCTGATTATCTCCTTTCCCCCTCATTCCCAGACCTGCTGGTGTGCCCAGTCCCTCGATGGGCACTCCTAGAGGCTGCTCTCCAAAGCTGAGCTGAAGGCTTGGTCTCCTTGAGTGTGCTGCCTGTTTGTGTCCAGGCAGAGGATTCTGTAAGCCCTGCCGAGGGCAGGGTGGTTGGTCACCCTGACGTACTTGGAAATGAAGCCTAAATTCCCTTCCCTTTCCCAAAAAAAGCTCTCTGCCCTCCTTAGGTGCTTTGTGCTACACCAGACACTATGACAGATGATCTCACTGCTGGGGTCCAGATTTATTTGCAGATGGTCCCTGATCTAAGAGGTTGTGTGTCACATTGAGCGGGGAATTACCCAGGTGACTCCCAGTAACGCTATGCTAACTGGTCAGATACCAGTGAGGAGAACCTTGCCAGATCTCTCCCTCCACCTCACCTGTTATTTACAGCCCTTTGTGTGCATTGCATCCGCAGGGCTCGCCTTGGAGTCCTGCCTGCCTTCTCCTCTGCACCACCACAGTGACTGTGCTATCTGCCTGCTCTACAAAAAAAAACCCCAAAAAACAGGTCTGGTTCCTCTCTTGCTGTGCAGTGCTGTTTCCTGCTCTACTCCAAACCACTTTTTAAGGAGTGTTTGCTCTGAGTTGCTGTTTTCAGTTGACAGAGCTCGCACTGGAAAGCAAATACTCAATGCTAAAACATCCCTGTATTGCTTCTCAATAGTTGTAATCAAAGTCTGTCTCCTTTATTGTTCCTAGCAATTGTTCAATTTTACTGTGCCAGCCCTATTTATTAAAAATAGTCAATAAGACACAGCTTTGTGCGAGGGGTTTATGGACTGGCAGTTCTTGTTAGAAGCAAACCAATTGTACTTGATTCTAATCCAGAACTGGGATTCCTGAGTGATCTGCTGCAGCAGAGCTCATGGGGAGAGCGGTCGATGGCTTGCTGATAAGAAATCTTGGAGCAGCATGCTTATCTTGGATTTACCTCGGCTTTGCTTAAAGTGCTGGATTCAGAAAGGCAAGAATTGCAAGTCGACGTTTTTCCCCCTTTTCCAGCCTGTGTTGGGCCACGCTTGTTCCCCAGTGCCCAAGAGTATTTACAGAACTAATTGCCAAAGTCTGAATCCTCTTAAAAGCTGGTGAGCAGGACATTCAAGGTGAGAGCTTATTGTGGGTGTCAGATCAGCAGCCACGGGAAGAAGCTCTACATGGATCCTGCTTTCTTGGAAAAGCATGAGGCATCCAAGACTACAATGTGTGCAGTGAGAAAGGGCAGGAGTTGTTGGGAAGGATGATGGGGAGCAAAAACCTGGTGAACCCTGGAAACAAGGTGCCAGTTGAGGCTGGAAGATCAGTAGGAATGTAGGAGCAGTGAATTCAGCTTCCAGGGCTTCTTTGTGCTCAGCAAACATTTTTCTGGGCTGGAGCAGGCCAGGGCTCGGCAGAGCCTGTGTAAGCATTTTGGGAGAGGGGAAATTATGAGGCATCCTGGCAATGCCCGGCTGTAGGTGGGGCAGCAAGGGGAAAGGAGCTGCGGGGCAAAGCTGGGCCTTTCAGATGGTTTGGCTTTTAGTCACTGCCCTCACAACATCGTCGAGGCTCCTGGAGCCTTCTGTGATTCAAGTCATGACTTGGAGGCTCCAGAGGAAGGGCTTGGGAGCAGGTAGGAAGGGTCTGGTTCAAGTGGGAGAGGAAAATCTTTTGTTTCCTTGTTTAAGAAGGTGTGAAGCACAGTGGTTGGGAGGATGAGTCTTCTGAAGGGGATTGATGCAGCAGGGTTTGTGGATTTTCCTTAGGGCTCTTCCAGCCAGCAGAGATCACTGAACTTCTTTCCTCTCACTGTGTTTCAATTTGATGCCTTCTTTGTTTTCCATATTCATTAGAAATCTGTTGCAGAGTTTTCTGTTTCTAGAGGCGGTTTCCTTTTACTTGTGACATACTTGATCTCCTCTCCTGTTACACTGGGATCAGGGCAGCTCCTCTGTGCCCCTGTCATTCTTGCAGCTTCTTTAAAAACAGTGTCTGCACCCCAAAACTCTACACTCCCAAAAGAAATCTAATCTCCAGCATTCATAAACAAATAGAAACGCTTATCTTTGCCCCAAAGATAAGGATTTTTGGCCTTGCAATTCATTTAAGTTGCATCTGAATGGTAGGATTTAGTTATAATATATGGTCTGTGGCCACTGTGTGACAGTGACTAATGCCTGATGACCAGGCTGGCCAGGCAGGGTGGAATTCTGCTGTGCTGTCATGCCCTGAGCATGGAAAGTGAAGCGGTTCTGGCTGGCCCGTGCTTGGCACTGCGCTGTCAGTCGCCTCCTTAATGACTCTCTTAAAGAATAACAGCATCAGCCTCCCAGAAAGCTTTTTTAGCTCTGTCCCTTCTTTATGTACTGTGTCTCCTCCCTGCCCCCAGCTCGTGCCTTGTGCTGCCTCCAGTGTTTTGCCTCCTCTTTCCCCTTTGCCCTCATGCTTTGCCCCTTCTCCACACCTGGTTTTCTGCCCTACCTGACTCCTGCTTCTGAAATACTCCACTTATTTTCCAATCCTCGCTATTAATCTTTGTCCCACCTTCTCATGAGGCATGAAGGTTTTACAGGAGCCCGTTAGCTGTTATCTCTATCCCCACCCTCCAAACACTCCAGGAAAAAGCAGGGTCTTACAGTCTTCTTGTAGGGACATCACCCACTCTTTTTGCAGGTCCCAGATTTCCTTCGAGAAATCTTGAAGCTCCTCATCCTTCTGCTCAGAAGAGAGGAATTTTGGCTTTAAAATGCCTCTTACCCAAAAGCTGTTGGGAGAGCAGGGTGGCTGTCCACAGCCCATCCTGCCCTTCCTGCCTTGCTCATCTCCAATGCTCTCCAGGGTTAATTTAATCCCTCAGTTTGCTGGATCCTGGCTGGGTTTAGGGGCAGCAGAGCTGTCCCCTTGGCCCTGGGAAGCGCTGCTGTGATCATGAGGGCAAAACTCTCCTGCAGTGGAGTGTGGCTGGGAAGGTGGGGGTGGCTGGCAGGATGAGCTGGGCTATAAAGGGAGCCTTTTTCTTAGCCTTTATCTCTGCTGTTTTGCCAGTGCAAATTTGTGCTGTACGTGTGCTCTACCTTAGTTTTTCTTTTAAGAAAAGCTGTTCTCACCACTACTCCTTGCTTTTACTTTCAAAACGTGCTTTGAAGGCAAACACTTTTGGGGTGTCTGTATACAGGCAATGTATTCAGAGCCTTTTTTTGTTGGTATTTGAGGCACTGCTGCCATTTTCTGCCCTGTTTTCCCCATCTTTGCAGAGATCAGTGTTACCTGCATTTATCCAACCATGCTACCCATCATCTTGGGTTTTTTTTTTTATCTCCTTTTATACAGAATGCTCACATCTCATCCCCCACTTCCAGGCTTATTTTTCCTGTTGCTGTTTTCCTTCTGTCTGTCCTCCACCTTGGAAGGTTTCCAGGCAGGCTGTCCAGTCCAGCTCTGCAGATCCCACCGTGTGTGCTCCCTGGCCAAGCCCTGGGGAAGCACAGGGGAGAAGCTGGATGCAGGCAGCCTGCAAATGCTGCCTTGTTTATGAGAGCTGCTGGTTGGTGCAGACTGCAGTCTGGGGGGAGCTGGGAAAGTTTGTCTGGCATGAAGCACTAAAGCTGACAAAAGATTGTAGGGCTTGGGCTGGAATCGATAAAACACGGGGTGTTGGGAAGGGAAGGTCAGAGCCCTTCCTTAGTTCACCCTGTTCTTTAAATATCCCAGCAGTTACTGATGGCTGCAGTGGACACGGGGAAAAACAACACAGACTCAGTCCTCAGAGGGTCTTGCTTTTATTTATTTGGATGCAGATCTGGCTCCCCTGTTCCATAAGGCGTTTGGTTTTGGGGACCCTTTCTGTGCAGCCTGGTCTCGTGGCAGGAGGTTGGAACAGGATGAGCTTTAAGGTCCCTTCCAACCCAAACCATCCTGGCATTCTGGGATGCTGTGAAATCCCTCGTGTAGAGGCGTTGCAAAATGGTAGCAACCTACATCTGCTTGTCTGGGAGACATCCCAGCGCCCGGTGCTGCGGCTCTTGAACTCCTCTGCCTTAATGGGTCAAATTTAGCAATTCAAAATCTGGCTTCTGAGGTAATTAGGAGGGATAATGCCCACTTCTTCCTCTTAACACCCTGATAGAAAAGCATCCAGGAAGGACTCCTGGACCTCAAAGATAAGCTGCCAGCTGCCACAGAGACTATCAAAGGGTGGCTCAAAGTCAAGAGCAAACAGCTGATTTTTTATGGTTCTTGGGTTTTTGCTGGTGGTGACAGGAAGCCATGTTCCCCAAGCTGTTCGCTTCCTGTTTTATTTTTACACCCAGCCCGAGCAGATCCGCATGCCTATCACATGGGAGCTGCCTGCTTCTCTTGGGTTGTTCCTCAGCTGACCTAGAAAAGTGATTCTTTCCCCTTCTAAATTAATCAAGAACTTGGGATGTATTTGCTTTCACTTAGTCCTAAAGATTTCAGGCATGTATGATGCTCCTTCTGGTGAGCTGGTCACACAGGTTTCCTTCTCCCTCCTGGAGCTGGACGATCTGGGACGAAGCTGTTTCATGCTTAAACGTTGGGCCTGTTAGCAAAGGAGATTTTTCTTAGTTCAAGACACTGACCTGCACATAAAAGTGTCCAAACCATAACTTCCAGACACTTAGGTTTTCTCCAGGTTTTTTATTTTATTAGTTTTTTAAAGAACTGGAAGTTTGTCCTGCCTGTTGTCCAATCAATGCTGACTTGCCTCTGAGCAAACTCCAGTCCTGCATCCTGAGCAGATCTCCCTCAACCTTAAACTGCTCTAGCACAAAAACAATGGTCCAGTGTAAACCTCATCCCCGGGGGATTTCCCAAGGGAAGAGGGGTGCAGCCTGCAGGATAAGGAACAGTCACCAGAAAGTTTCCTGGTCAGCTGCAAGCGCTTCCTGTTGTTCCAGGAGAGCCCCGTGTGCTGCTCCAGGAGGGAGGCACCACGTGTGCTTTGGCGTGCTGGGAGAAGCCTGTTTTGTTCTTTCTTTTTTTGTGTAATAACATCTCCTGCCTTCATCTCCACGGTTTAAGCAACTATTGATTGCAGGTTGGGAGTGTTTCTGAAGAGGAGCTCGTCGGAGTCGTGCCAGGCGCCGTGTGAGCGCGGGAGGCAGGAGCCCTGTCCGGGCTCTGGGGAGGAGGGGAGCAACGCCCGGCAGTGTGGGCAGAGCTCTGGAGTTCTCCATCTCTGCCTCTGTACCTGGGCTGCTGGGGCTGCCACTGCAAGTCAGAGAACAGGAGGATCTTTATTTCTGATGAACCAGTTTCTCAGGGTGGGGAGCGGGGGGAAGAAGGCTTATAAGTAAAGCCGTTTGAGAGCAGGAAAAACGAACACCATGGCTCTGGTGTGCCTGGAATTTGCGGTTGAGTAATCCTTTCCTGTTTCTTTTTTGGGTTGTTTTTCATCTTTCAGAACAGTGCCTGAAGCAGGTCCACCATGCCGTTAGTAACGAGGAACATTGAGCCAAGGCACCTGTGCCGTCAGACGTTGCCTAGCGTTCCGAGCGAGCTGGAATGCGTGACCAACATCACCCTGGCAAATGTCATTCGACAGCTGGGCAGCCTGAGTGAGTACCATGGCGAGCCTGCGCGTTGCCCTCAGGAGTCGCTACTGCTCTTTATTTAGCTCCCTTTCTACTCTCGTGTTCCTATTTCTCCCCCATCTGCCTTCCCTGGGTAATGCTAAAATGTTTTCCTAAAGAAATCTGATGCTAATTTCATATCCCTGGTCCCACTGCCTTCCTATCTAAGAGAAAATGGGGAGGGGGGTGTGTGTATGTGTGTGTGCATGTGAGAGGCTGCAGTGAAACTGCAGATGGAAGGATGGAGCACAACTCAGGCTTGTAAAATGGGAGGCTCTCGGAGCAGGCAGGATCTTGTGTCAGAGAACGTGCCTGTAATTGCATGCGCTACTAAATGGAGCTTGACTCTGTTGAATCTACACCATGTCAGTAGTCTTATTTTTAATGAAAGATAATTAAAGCCCCCACGCAGGAGCTCCAGCTTGCCCTTGCTGCTGTTTGTTGCATTGTGAGACCCAAAGACCTGTCTGAGTCCAGTGGTGCCTCCAGAGCATCGGTGGTTTGGGGCTGCTCACTGAAATGGCAGCATGAGCTGGAGCGATGCCTGGCTCAGCTCTCCAGTGGGCTGACCCGGAGCCTTGGAAAAGCTGGAGGGAAAACACAGGCCTACATGCTGTAGGAGAAACGAAGAGTTAATTGTGATCTCTCCAGGGTGATTCCATACTCCGTGGAAATGCTCTGGGTTCTGATTAACCACCTTTGTCCTTGAAGCGAGACTTTGATAATCAAATTAATCTATTGTTTAGCTTCTCTGGGGTGTTTGCAAGCCCTTCTGCTTGCTCTGCAAAGCAAGCCCTTGTCTTCCGCCATGTGGCAGGCAAAGTTTGGGTGCAGCCTCTTTCCAGCAGTGCAAACCATGGCTGTCACTGAAATCTGGGCCCGTGTTTGCTGCCAGTCGGTGTCACATTCTGTTGGGTTGGAGAAATGTCACTGCACAGGCGAGAGCAGGCTCTCTGCTCACGTTCAACTGGCCCTCGTTGTTCATTTGTTAGGTCTGGTAGCCAAGATGGTTGTGGAGTGTGAGTGAAATCCATCTCGTGCATGTGAAATGGTGAGGAAGGAGGCAGTAAAGCTGTGCAAAGCCCAGCTGCAGGGAAGGCTCATCCCTGTTCAGAGACACGTGTGGGTTTGTGTGACAGCCCTGGCCAGATCCCACAGGTTCAGACCTTCTTTGCTCAGATATTCAAAGCTGCTCTGCTTCTGAGGCACTGGGAGTCAAATCACAGCCTGGTTTCTTCTTTGGGAAGGGAGCTGGGATGTGGGGATGCAGGGAGAAGGTGTGAGCTGCTGGACCAGTCCCAGGTACCTGGGGGGAACTGAGGAGAGGTGCCTCCTGCTGACAGTTGGTGTGAGAGCAGAGCAGGGCAGGTGGGAGGGAAATGCTGAGCACCATCCACTTCCCCAGGGTCAGCAGTATTTTAAATAAAGCAATGTTTAGACTATGCTTGCACCCAAATGACCAAACTCCTGCCCCATGCCCTTTCCTCTCTCCAAAAAACAAATTCTCCCTCTCCTTGTACCTTGACTGTTACAGGAATGTAGAGCAGGTTCAGTAGGCTGTGACAGCCCTGTCAAGTGAATAATCAGCCATGCCTGGTGCACCACAGTCTCTTTACAAAGATGCAAACATAAATCTTGTCAAACTTTCATATTCCAGTGAGTTTACCCTTCGTTACTATCGCAGCTGGGAGCACTTTGTATAAGTCGGCTGCGCGGTTTTGTGTGATTTTACAGAATCCACAAGCTAAAGATGGAAGGACCTATTAAATCATGCCGTCTGTCTTCCTGCCGGTGCATGACAAAGATAATTCTGATTGTAAGCTGCACTTCTGCAGTCAAAGTAACTAAACTAAAAAATTAATCTCTGTCTCACCCCATCTAAAAGTGTTTGTGAAGCTCAGGTGACGTGTGAGATGCTGGGTGATAACTCCAGGTGCACTTACACAGGCAAGTGAGCACCGACCACCTCTTCTCTCTTCAGGGTCAAAACCACTATAGAAAATGCTGTTATTGATTATTTTATACTTGAAATATACTTTGCAAACCAAAGACTTAATTTTCCCCTACTGCTTGTTGCAGTTCCTTGTGAAATTCAGAGATGTTTTCGATTTCATTTCACTTCTTGTGAAAGTAGAAACGAAATTGCAACTTTTCTTTTTTTGAGCTGCCGCTGGAAGGTTTCGCATTTTCCCACAGATAAATTTTTACTCTCTTTGGGTCAGACAGGAGAGCTGGTCTGTGCTGATGTTGAAAATGGAGATTGCTTCATGAAACATGGCTAAAACAAGAGCTACCTGGCCCTTAAATCTCCAAACATAAAATCCTTCTCATGAGTTAGGGTTTGTTAATTGAGCATGTGTGGAGTCTGCATTGTCTAGGAGTGGAAGGAAGAGGTCAGTTGAAGTTAACCTTCAGCATTTGCTTTCTACAAACACTTGGACCTGGCATTGCCACCAAAAGGGGTGGAGAAGGTTGAATTTTAACCTGGCTTGTTCCCCGTGCTTGGCAGTGTAAGGAGATCTCCTGGGAGCAGGAACAAGGAGTTGATATGTCAGCTTAGATAGCTGGGAGTGTTTGTGCAGCTGGGCTTTGGGGGATGCCCTGTCCTTGCCTCGTGCAAGGGTGCTTTGTCTCTCCGACTCTGTAGACAACCATGTTTTCCAAAATTGCTGTCAAAATTAGACTTCCAACTGGTTTTTCTTTCCCGAGTGTCGGAGAGGATCTTTAGGAGTAACAGATTCCAGAACAAACTGTTGACCATATGACGATGCACTTCAAAACCAGACTGCTTATTGGGAGCAGCCTTGTACTCAGCAGCCGTGGCTGGAAATGTTTCCCATCAGTGGGAACACCGCGGCCCATGTCTGCGGCCGGTGCCAAGTCTGCTCTGCCCTCCTGCTGGGGGCTCCCTGTCTTGGGCTGTGCCCGGGAGCAGAGCACAAACAGGACTCAGTGGAAGCTCTTGGGTTTCTTCCAGGTCTCCCACCTCTGTCTACCTGTGGCCATCTCTTGTTGCACTGTGGGTTTTTAACTCCTGAGGATGGGGCTGTGTTCTTGTTACTCCTGTGAGTGCTGCAGCTCCTGAGCTGAGCCCCAGGCGCTCTCATGGCCCAGACCACGGATGGTGCCTTCATAGCAGCCCCCTGGGTAGTCCAGGCTGTTCCAGAGAGAATGTCCCTGACTGAGAAGTTCCCCTTTGGTTTTGATTTAGAATCAATGTGAATGCATCAATTTTTCAGACAGTGCCACCTGAAGGAACAGCAGGGTCAGTGCTGTCAGCTGCGGTTTCAGCTCCAGCTTCAGGATCCAGGACTGGGTCTGCTCTTTACTTCCAGAGTACTTTGAGCTTGTAAATGTGTGCCAGCTCCCCTGGAGGCAGGTCTGCTGAAGACTGAGAGCCTTTGAGATTCTCCAGAGCAATGAAAATCTAACTGTATTTCCTTGTCTAAGAAACAGAACAGCAAAGAATCTTAAAGGACCTTCAGATGCATCCACATTCAGACCAGTGTAGTGTTGTCAGCCCTCTTTAGTTTGTTACTCTAATAGACTTTAAAGCATGTCTCAATTGTTTCCTTATTGCTTGAAGATTCCTTGGAAATGTCAGGTTTTGGTGGAACAAAGCACTTTCTTCCTGGATGTTAAACTCAACCCTGACAAACTTGAAGAGTGTTTCTTTCTTTCTTTCTTTCTTTCAAAAACAAGCTGGGAGACTGCGTATGGTCTGATGTGGTTCATAAGGGTAATGTGGACACTTTAATATTGCAGGTAAATCTGCAGAAGACATATTTGGAGAGTTGTTTACTCAAGCCAACACCTTTGCCTCTCGGGTGAGCATTCTTGTCGAGAGAGTTGACCGCTTGCAAGTCAAAGTCACTCAGCTGGATCCCAAAGAGGAGGAAGGTAATGGAGTGAGCACAGGCTGAGCATGGTGAAGGTTCTCCTTGAGTCAGCATGGTTGGTTCAGCACTGTAAACCAGCATGACACTGCCATGGGTGTTGGAATGTGTTCTCTGAGCTGAGAGGGACTGTTTCCCTGCCTCCCAGTGGTGCACTTGGACAGCTGTTTTGGCTCTTCAGTGACTCTCCACGTGGGAACTCGCTCTCCAGCAGTTGGGTGGCTGTGGATGAGCTGCTTGAGCTTGGTCACAGGGGTTCCAAAGCCCATGGGCCACTCGAGGCAGAGCTGTGTTGATGGAGCAGCAGGTCTTGGCAGCACGCTGGAGATTTGATGGGTTTCCCAAGGGATCTGTGGGAAAAGGAACCTGACCTTAAGAACTGCAAAGCATGCCGAGAACTCCAACTGAAATCAGATGTTCACTGCTTGGGCTTCAGAGTCGTTGGCCTGGGTCAAGCTGTTCTTCACTTGTTCTCTCCTCTTCCTTACAGTCTCCTTGCAAGGCATTAACACCAGGAAGGCCTTCAAAAGCTCCACAACTCAGGACCAGAAGCTCTTTGACAGAGATTCTCTCCCTGTGCCTGTCCTCGAAACCTACAGGACCTGCAATACCCCTCCACCTCTCAACATCCTCTCACCTTACAGGTAGGACTGCAATACTCCTTGTTCCCTTGCAGAGAAGAACCTCTTCCTCCCAGCCTGCTGGGGATGTCCTTCCCTGTGCTGTGCTGGACTGAAGCTGTTTCCACTGGGAAATTGAGCTGCTGAACAAATCCACCAGGAAATCTCTGTCCTCTGGATTATGTGAAACTTTGCTTTTGAGGTCATACCAATGAACGTAGCTAGAAAATGATCTCTTTGGTTTTCTGCTGCCACTTTTGTGGGTGCCTTGGGGCCAGGCGTGGCTGGCTCTGCAGAACCATGCTGGGTGTGCTGCAGATGAGGCATTTTTCCTGTGCTCCTCCGTAGCCCAATGGCTCCTTTCCAAAGAGCTGCAGTGTGAGGTGCAGAGCATTCACCTGGAGGTGGCTCTCACCCAGGTGGGTGCAGCAGGCTGCTGGTGATGCTTCCTGTGGCCTCCACTGCCTGGTCTGAGACATCTGGTGGGACCTGCACTGGTCTGGTGGGACCTACACTGGCTGTGTAACCAGTTCTGAGCAGTCCCACTCTGATTCCATCTTGTAGGTAGTAGAAGTAAAGGGGGTCAGAATCCAGAGACTTATCCCACATCCATAAATATCTTCTGAGCAGGTAAAAAGTAATTACAGATAGCTGGAGGCAGCTGTCTCCTGCCAGACGCGGCTGCACTGCAGAGTGGGAGGAGAGGGAGTCTGTGTGCGCTCATCAGGAGCTTCAAGGACGCTGCTGGTCTGATTTAGGGTTCCTGAGCTGGAGGAGGAGGTTTTTCCACACCAAAATACTGCACAAACAAAAGGGAGTTGAAGTGAGAGACCTGCTGCTCTCCTGGTGGTTGTTCAGAGCAGTTGAGCTCTTCAGGTGCTGAGTAATGGAGGGACTGTGTGAGGGCAGAAGGAGTGGGATGTGGGAGAGCTGGGGTGACTGAGATGGGGGGCTCTTCCTGTTCTGAAACGGGGGGCAGAGGCAAGAACAGCACTTGTGACCATCTCACTGCACTTCTGAGCTGTCATCTGAGATAGTGCCTTGTGTTTCCTTCCAAGAAATGCGTGACCTGATCCTTGTCTGTGTGTTTCTCTCCTCCCTCTGGTGCAGGGATGATGGCAAAGAGGCACTTAAATTCTACACAGATCCTTCATACTTCTTCGACCTTTGGAAGGAGAAAATGCTTCAGGACACCAAGGATATCATGAAGGAAAAGCGGAAACATAGGGTGAGGAAGGGAGGAGTAGGAAGTGGGAGGTGTTAATAGGTTTTGGACTCCAAATTTACTATCCAAAACTCAGGTTTGCACTTTTGGACTCCTATGGGATCAATTCAGTGAAGTTTTATCTTGTTTACCCACATCCTCGTTAATTAAAAAAAGAGAACAGAGATACCTCTAATTGGTTTTTCCAAATGCCACTGTCTTTGGGCCTTAATGTTAAATTATATTATAGCATAAGAGATTTATTTAGCTTTTGAGCAACTGGAGTATTAAGCATGAAAACAGATTGTGATTCTTCAATGAAAAACAACAAAGGAGAGATGTAGGGTGTGTTAGAATTCTGAGTGAGCCCATCTAAAGCCCAGTCCTCTGTGGGCAAGTGTCCATATTGCACCCCAGAACACTGAACACCATGAGGGTGAAGGTGAAATTCGGGTGCTTTGACACAGAGGCCAAAACCTAAATTGATTTGGGAAACTGAGCTTTTACTCTGCCCTCAAGCTGCTTATGGCAGGGGGTGATGATGGCATCGTGTCTGGGCTGCTCTGGGCAGCCTGATGTTGTCTGGCATTTTTATGTTGTCTGTGCTCCAGCTTGTTTTTATGGAAGATCTTTGGAGAGTGCAGCAATCAGGAAAGTAAACTAAAAATCCTCTTAGAGAATGTGTCTGGTTGTGACTGCTCCAGGTCTGTCCTGTCCCTCTCTATTCCCAGTGAATTTAAAGCAAAATAAAGCTTGTGTTTGATTCCTCCTCTCTTAGAAAGAGAAAAAGGAGAATCCGAACCGAGGAAATGTGAACCCACGGAAAATCAAAACCCGGAAAGAGGAGTGGGAGAAGCTGAAAATGGGACAAGAATTTGTCGAGTCAAAGGACAAGCAGGGCCCTGCTGGGTAAGCAGCTCTGGGGCTGGGTGATTGGGATGCAGTTCACCCTGCACTGCAGCTCCCCCGGATCCACGGATCGATGCTGCCACTAATCAGATTCTCCCGAGTAAATCCGCCTGCTGATTTAAAATTTGCCAAATAAATCAGGGAGCTGGAGCAAGGTGGCAGGAGCAGCTCTGGCTGCTCTCGCTGCCTGTGGGCACAGGGTGTTGGGAGCTTTGGCTGTGCCCCACGGCGATGCCCTTCCCTCACAGCCAGCCGAGGGTGGCAGCTCGGTGCCATTGTGTGATGGCTTTGTTACATTTCACAAATGGCTCTTCACACCCTGAAGTTGAAGCGGGGGCTGTCCCCATCCAAGTATTTCGAGCTACAGATCTCTCTTTAGCACTTCTGGCTTGGGAATTCATTTAACTTTTGACACCAGCAAGGCTGGAAGCAGACCGAATTCCCCACAATGCTCTTCTTCCTAGCAGCTTCCTTTCATATAAGAAAAAAATCTCTCTTTAAATCACACTCTCCAGCTAAAAATAAAACTTGCTTTTAGTTTAATAAGAGAACAGGTTTGGTTTCTAGCAGGGGAATCGAGCAGCACAACAGCACCATTTTCTTGCTCCTCTCTTTTCTCATGTGAGTGTGTTCTTGCATTTGGATTCACCTGGGGTCCAGAGCCCCCAAAAATAGGGTGGTTCCCCCTCCCCACAGTGAAATGAGTCTGCTGAAATCATGAGAGTCTCTTTTCAGTACTATTCCAGCTTTGAATACTTGTTTTAAGGGCATTGAGGTTTCCATTTCGATATTCTATTCTCGAGCTTACTTTTTGGCATCTTTGAGTATCTCCTGTTTTTACCACTGATGATACTCAGTGTAACTGCAAGTTCTTTAAGTCCAAGTTGGTGAAAACACTCTTAAGTGCTTTTACAAAATCAAGTGTTAAAGAAAAATGCATTTTTCCAGGTGTTTGCTTGTTTATTAAAATATATACCCCTGCTGTTCTGGTGTGCAGCAGTCATAAACAGGGCAGCACCTGAGCAAATTTTAGCCAAAGAGTTACAGAGAGCAAACACATACAGGTGTATGTGGTTCTCCATGTAGGAGTCTTTGAGAAGTAAAGGGGTTTTTTAATGATGTAAAATCATGGATTGATTTGGGTTGGAAAGGGCCTTTAAGTCCATCCAGTTCCACCCCTGCCATGGGCAGGGACGCCTTCCACCATCCCAGGCTGCTCCAAGCCCCATCCAGCCTGGCCTTGGGCACTTCAGGGATCCAGGGGCAGCCAACCTCTCTGGGGGAAAAAACAAGCTTGATACATTGCCTTGAGCTCCTTAAACAAGCTGTTTGTGCTGCTGTTCCCAGGTACCCCTCCAACATGGTGTACCAGAACGGCAGCATCGGCTCCAGCGAGAGCATGGACGGGAGCTGCTACCCGCCACCGCCACAGACTGACTCTATTGTGCCACCACCTCCCTCGTTCCCAGATGACAGCCTGCCTCCACCCCCGGTGGAATTTAGGTAAGCCTACGGGATCCCTTCTGTCACCAAGGAGTAGTAGGTGGTGTAAAAGGATGACATGAGACAGGCTGAGATAGTTCAGCAGAACTTCCCAATGGGTGGTGTATGGGAACCAGAATGCTCCTGTCTGGAAGGGAAGTGCAGCTGCAGGAAGGGACAGAGGACAGGCAGCACGTGGCTCTCCATGGAGCCCAGCCACCATCACCATTCCCAGGCAGCAGGGGAGAACTAAAGCAGATTTATTCCACAGCAGTGTCCCAGTGAATGGTTTGACCTCATTGCTGTGGTTTTCCAGTGCAGTTGTTCCATAGCATGGACTTCTGTTCCTCATGTTCCATTTGCACAATGCTCTCAGGCACATTGTGGAATTCTTGGGGGTGTCCTGTGCAGGCCCAGGGGTTGAACACGATGATCCTTGTGAGTCCCTTCCTTCTCAGGATATTCCATGACAGAGCTTTGCAAAGAACAGCTTCTTTAACCTCTTTTGCTCTGATCTGTGAGAAATGCACGACGTGGGCACTGGAGATGGAGATGTATTTAAGTTTCAAGGACTTGAGCACAGCAGCTGCCTCCTTCCCAGAGACTTGGGTGCAAGTTCAGGTCATTTACTTGGGATTGAATGAAATGGTGACTCCCAGGCACCTCCAGAGATGAGAGTTACGGTCCAGCAGTGGCTCAAGACGCAAAGGGTGAAAAAAGAGTGGACTTTTTCTTTTTTTTTAAGACATTAAAACAGAGTCAAGAGGAACAAGAGAAAGTCTGTCTGATAGACAGGGCTGCTTGGCTTCTCTCCATCTTATCCAAAGGCAGCAATGCTGCAGCAAAGGCTCTTCTGATGTGTCAGAGAGACCCAGCACTGCACTCTGCAGCCTGTGCCTCTCGGGCAGAGCAGGCACGAGCTCTCAGATGAAGCTCTCACTGCCTTATGCAGTTGCTTAGATCTCTGCCCAACCCCACAGATCTCCCCTCTTCTGGTTTTGTTTTGATGGTTGTTTTTAAGGAACCCTGGGAGGTAGATTTGATCTCCAGGAGTCTGTTTTGGATCAGCACTGTTAAAAATGGTGATGTTTTTGTGGCAAATGCACCTTATTTTTCTATCTTGCCATGGAAGGAGGTCTCAGTTTGGGGCTTCCCTTGCACAGGATGTCACACTGTCACATGGGCAGTGGAGTCCTGTGGGATGAACAGAGCCTCCACAATGGGAGATTCAGTCCCTCATGCCTTGGTGCTTTCCATAAGAGCACGCTGGGTTCCCACGTCCTCCCCTTCACTCCCCACAGCGAGCTCTGAGACACGGCTGCTGCACTCCAGCTCCGAGCTGTGGAATCCAGGGAGGAGATCCCTTCCCAGCAGGTGTTCAGAGCATATGCTTTCCTGGCACCCCCGCCCTCCTCGTGCAGTTTATCCCAGCAGACATCCCTGATCCCTGCCTGGCGTGTCCCTGACCCCTGCCTGGGCCTGGCCTCTGACAGAGGTGAGGTGGCTCATGTTCTTGTCAGCCTGGGAGATGGGATGGAGGACAGCATTCCTGCCATCCCTAGAAGCTTTCCTTTTTCTGGAGGTGTAGGCCAAAAGAAACAGTGCAAGGGAACTAAAACCAAGGAGTGAGGTCTCATGGAAACATCAGTTAAAGCTGGAACGTGGATTTTTTTTGTCTGGACGGCAGCAAACACACATGATTTGCATTAACACAGTGACTGTACAGTCTGATCTGGCCTCAGGGCTGATTCCCTGTCTCTCTCGTTCTGTTGCCACAGCTATCCTGTAGACAACCAAAGAGGTTCTGGTTCTGGAGGGCCCAAACGATCCAGCCTGGTTAGCCCGAGCCACCCGCCGCCAGCCCCTCCGATCGGCTCTCCCTCCGCAGCCAGGCCGGGCTTTGCTCCCCCTCCAGCTCCTCCTCCACCGCCACCACTGATGGAAAGCACCCCCCCTCCACCACCTCCCATGGGCTTCCCCTCCCCGGGAACCCCCCCGCCCCCCTCGCCCCC